TCTGGGATCAGTAGAGGGTCCTAAAGGCAGCGTGGACACATATGATTCTTCCTTGGACATATGGTCAAGCTATATTGAGCGTTACTATCGACCTTTAATTGTTGTATTAAAATGTATTCTTTCCAGTATATTTCCTTCCTTGGGAGTAAATGCCAGTTATCTGTTTTTCTCCCAAACGAGTGAATGTTTTAGCATTATGTTTTGGTATACTTAACTGATAATAAGGAGCTCAGACTCTCTTCAGCCTTGATGGGAGCTGTTATTTGCTAGTGTCTGTTATTTGTGTGTGTGTGTGTGTGTGTGTGTGTGTGCGTATGACATTCTATGTAGGTTCTGGACGTTCGGACCAGACACCCCGGCGCCCTTCTCTAACCTGCGAGGCCACCACAGACCTAAATCTAATGAGTGGACGACAACTATCTTTTGACTAATGGCGATAGGCACCCCTATCTCCTCACATGTGTTAAATTGCTTAGGCTTTCATGTTTCTTAGCCAATGAGAATCATTCAACCTGAAGTAATGGCGTAGCTTAGACCTTGGAAATGGTATAACTGCTGTGATCTTTGTAACTGTAAGCGAGGCGGCCTACGAACTCCTGTGTGAGTCTTGAAGCTGACTTCTGCTGATGAAACTGCAACCTATCTTCAGTAAAACTTTTCTTTAATTTTTTATAATTCTGACTCCGGGTCTTCATTCTTCATATCTGGTTCTGGGTCTTTGACTGTATACCCCTTACAGTGCAAATCGTCATTCACGTATGAATCGCCTTGGGTGTGTGTGTGTGAACTAACCACGAGCAACACATTTGTTACTGTATAATACAACTGAACTGTTAATTGTTTATTCATGTTATGTCACAGTCAGTGCATTAACTATGATAACAAATACAACTTTTGATTTTAATGTTTTAGTAAATGCTGAAATTAATATTAACTAAGATTAATAAATGCTGTAGAAGTGCAGTTCTTTATTAGCTAATGTTAACTAATTTAACTAATGAAACCTTATTGTAAAGTGTTACTGATTCATGATAGCTAACACTGTCTTTCATACATATAATACATGCATTAAATTTGCAACATCAACAAAACTAAAAATAAATTACCTTCTTTATTCTCACTGTTTTGTTTGGTAAAGTAAATAATATTAAGTAATATTATCATCATCATTTCCCTATTCTCATTTGATGTGTTATGCATTCTAATAATTGTATCAACATATTTTCTTAGAATGCCAAAGAAAGAAATAATAAAATAAAATAAAAAATCAAGGAACTCTCTGATGCAGGCAAAGGAAGCATCCCTCTCACAAGTTGGCTGAAAAGAGAGAATAAAATGCAGGTACTGTTAAATTAAATTAAATAAAAATGTAGTGCCCTTTTTGGTCCCTCCGCCCCTGAGGAGGTCTGTGCACACCACTGATTAGGAGTGAATATCCAAATCAGTGAGTTTTGCCTTCATTTGTTGATTAAAAATGAACTACTGTTGCTTTCATTGTGTAATTGCCTCAGTATGTGTGATGCAAATAACACTGCCCTTATGACCCAGCTAACTTGGCTAACGTTCTGGCGAGGTTCTCTCCAAGTTATGGACAAACGTTCTTCCAGTCACGCAAATAGAGCGTTCGTTCAGAGTTATGTGGGCTTTAATAACGTTCTCACAATGTTAGCACAAAAAAAGTTATACCAGTAATTGTTCATGGAAGTTTTTTTTCTGAAACATTTACACGTTTGACTAACGTGTTTTATGTTAATACTTGTTTCAGAATGTTCCCTTAACTTTATTATAACCAAGACAATTTTCAGAAATAACGTTTTCATAACTTAATAAGAATGTTAGCAAGAATGTTAGCAAAACATTCATATTTTTGTTAGCTAGGTACATTAGTGTGTGTCTCAGAAGTGAATCGTACATGCATCATTCTCAAGGAATGCATGGACTGACACAAATGTTTACCTTGAGTCCAATTCAAGTCGCTTTTTAAAATGAAATTTGCCAGACGCGCTTGCTCAATGACCAGGAATCCAAAGACTGCGTTTGTAGATTTATTTGCGTTAGAAATGCATTTTACAGCGGTCAATAAAATAAGACTTCCCCCGCCCCCTATGGTGTTGCTAGGTTGTTGCTAGGGTATTCTGGGTGGTTGACTAATGTTAATATATAAAACCTTAAAGTTACTCAGTTACTGTAAAATGCATTTCTAACGCAAATAAATCTACAAACGCAGTCTTTGGATTCCTGGTCATTGAGCAAGCGCGTCTGGCAAATTCCCCTATCAGCTTCTCGGCCGACAAACTAATATGGCTTTTGAGATTGTCGCCCACAATAACTAAATGTATGTCCCAGGAACCGTTTGTGAATCAAAAAATTAAGACAAACAAAACTAACATAATAAATTAATACAATTAAGGAGATTGGTTTCATCAACAGAAACTCAAAATATTATGGTACTTTACAATGTAAAAATAAATATTAGTAGCCTACTACATTTATATCCCGGGAATCGTGTTTGAATGACGGAATCAAAAAATGGAGACAAACAAAACTAATATATCAGGAAAAATTAAATATTAAAAACTACCGTCTTTAAAAAAAGGCAACCTCAAAAAGCAGGATCTCTCCAGCTAGTTTGGACTGGTCTCAAATAATCTCCATATGCTTTTCCAAATGTTCTAACGTTTAAACGTTTCATTCTCCGCCGCTCTTCCCTGAGACGGGTGGTTCTGGTCTGCGCGGGCCGGCTCTGATCCAGTCCAGCGCTGGCGTGACGGTCCCGTCTCCGCTCCGCTGGGAGAAGCAGAGGAACCAGGCCCAGATGAACACGCAGCAGCCGGAGAACAAGGAGAACCAGGGGCCAGGGAGAAGTTCAGGAACTGTGAGCCGTGAAGAGCACTGACATGAGAACACACACACACACACACACACACACACACACACACACACACACACACACACACACACACACACTGCCCTACTCTCAGAGCACAAGGGACAAAAGCTGTCAGCGGGACACTTCCCTGTCTATTAAAAAGCCATAGCCTGCACAATTTAATTCCTGTTCCCCTTAAAACAGTCATCGGTGCTTTCTGTAATATGCATGTACTTATTTATACAGTGTAGAATAGGGTTGGAACGGTACATGTATTCGTATTGAACCGAAACTGTACGGGCGTCACGGTTCAGTGCATGAATATACACGGTATAAAAATAAATAAAACTTATTTAATGTAAATGCAAATTAATTAATGTAATGCGGAACTACTTTATACGCGGGTTCTTTAGGGACATAATCTGAGATCGCAATGCTGGAATGTGTGTGTGTGTGTGTGTGTGTGTGTGTGTGTGAGTGACAGAGGCGCGGGCGCGATCGAACAGTAGAAACAATGTTGTTTTTAATACCTCGTCATTATGTTCATACAGGACATCATTCAAACTGCAAAGTGTTAACTTGTTTATCCTCGCCAGCCATAACCTCCGTCGTTGTTCTGACAAAAGCTTAGTCTTCTCATATTCATGAACCCTCGGCACGATTTGAACATCCCTTGATTGACCCAGCAGGAGATGACCATTTTCACTTTTTATCACGAAATTAACTCGTTTCAGCTTCTTCTTTATTCTGCCCACAGAAATGGCGTCGGGTCGACAAATGTCCGTATGTTGTGACGTCATGTAGGATCTATATAATGATCAGTGGGTCAGAAGAACCATGGTCAGAACGTCATCAACTGTTATTTTAGTGATTTGAAAGATACGCGCGCACCGCTGGAAATATGTTGGTGGTTGCTAGGAAACGGTCAACAGAAACGTTTCACAGGCGGACATCACAAGGTAAGACGATGGGAAATAATGCTAGTAGCGCTAAAATATAATTATTTTTACCAACCACAATTATAAATATTAGAAATGGACACGTTTTGTGTATCTTTTTCAATTTCTACAGCTTACTGCGCGGAAAAAGTTTAACCCTCTGGGCTTCTTCGGTCAAAAATGACCGAAAACTGTTACGTTTTGAAATGTTTCATTTTTTTGCTTCATCGGAGGGGGATGAAACTTGGTGACTTTTGTTGTATTACCTATGTGAACACACAAAATAATCAAGGAGATGATTCGGATATGTTAAAGGGTCGTAAAAAAATAGTCACACTTAACGTTAGCTTCCTCCCGCTCAAAAATGACCGACCATAGGAAACTATTGGGAAATACGAAAAAATAGGAAAACTCAGAGAAACTTTTGGTGCTACAAACTACAGATCAGCCACTGTGCAGAAAAAAGTAAGTGTACAGCTTTATCAAATACTAAGTAACAAAAATCTTTGCATTGTGTTCGCTTTCTATTGTAATCATAATTCAAAACCTGATACTTATCTAAGAAAAATGTAATTTAAAAAAAAAAAGTCTTTTAGAATATCTAAATATATATTTAAATAGAAAAAAACGAATAAGAGAAATCATGTCTAAAACAACAATAGGAATCAAAAAGCCTTTCTATGTATTTATATAGGCAGCCTACAGGCGTTACAGGACATTTCACACTTTTATATATTTTTAAAGCCACTGGATGGCGCTCTTCTCACTTGATTTTTTTTTTTTGCCTGCACTCTATTTTGATGAGAAATGCTGCATTTATTGGATTTTTTTTAAATAATAAAAAAAATATATATTATATTAATTGTAATGGAAAAAATAGCTCATAAAAATTATATAATTATATAATTAATGCAAAGTATCATAAAAATCTTAAAAAATTCTAAATAATAATTAAAAAATATTATTGAACAAGAATATATTTGATTGGGGGGGGGGGGGGGGAAACGTTAAATTTTAAGGCTTCAGTCTTTTTTGACCGGGAGGAAGCTAAGTGTAACTCCTAAACGAAGAAGCCCAGAGGGTTAACGAAGCTCTGCATGTCTGTCTGTCTGTCTGTCTGTCTGTCTGTCTATCTGTCTGTCTATCTGTCTGTTTGTTTGTCTGTCTGTCTGTCTGTCTGTCTGTATTGACAAGCCAGTTCTGATTTTGTGTAATAAAATACATCTTCTCTTTTGAGGACTTTTGAATCTGTGATCCACAGTCAGCAAACATGTCTAAAAAAGCAGGGAAGAAAGGAGGTGGAAAACGTGCCGGGATGACTGAGGAGGAGAGACTTCTGAACATGCAGCAAAAGGCTCAAGCTGAGGAGGATATTGCCAAGAGAAGAGAGGACATGCTCACCCACTTCCTCAAGGTGTGACAAGCAGCTGACATATTATATATGAGCTGGAGTAAACATTTTAGATTTAGAAATCGCTGAGTCGTGTCTATATATTTGTATAGTGCTTTTCAACAATACATCGTTTCAAGGCAGATTGTCATATACAGAAAATGTAACGTTATGTCAGGCAAATGTTCTGTCGGGCGTTTCATATCTGTAGAACCAGCGGTTCCCATCATGGGATCATTTTATGGATTTAGTTTTAATTCAGTAATTTTGATTTTATATATTATTTATTTTGATGGAATTTTACAGCATGTAAACATACTTTATCACTAGAAATTTTTTTAACACAAAAGTATGCAATCATTTAAGACATTTCTCCTTATATAGAACCAAAGCGTTCTTGAAAATGGAATCAGGAACACTAGGGTTCTGTATTGAACCCCACTGGACCCTTTTTAAGTCCTAGAAGTCCAATTTATTCATTTATTTTATTTTTATTTAAAATAATTTAGCCAAAAAGCCTTGGTCATTGCAATAAATAAATTCTTTTGTACGAATTACGATAATATTTAATAAATATAGCTAAATGAAAGATTTTAAGTACAATTCACAGGTCTTTGGTTTGTCCTAAAATCTAATTTTGTAAATAAAAGTTTATGCATAAAATATGTCTCTATGAATACCCATCAGATCATCAAAAAAGTTATTTTTTAATTTATTATTATACGTGTTCACGGTTTTTGGTGCATTGCATAAAAATCTGAACTTTTTTCTTTTTTCACAACAGTTATTTACTTCTTAGTACTTCTACAGTTTTTTAATTGCTATAGGACACATTTCTTAATACTTAGGTCACTTTTTCGAAACTCTTCACACAGTTAACCAACTTTCAAGTTGGTCCAACAGTAAATTTCACATTCGAAATGCAAATTAACACGTCATTCATGTTTCAAATCAAACCATTCTTCCAGAACACTAGCAAAGGTTTTTACCCAACAAACTCACTTTGTCACTCATACCACAACAACCTAAAAACACTAACAACCGGAAGCATCATACATGGGTTTCCATTGTAAAATTTCTTTACAAAACATGAATGACTCTCTCTACTGTTTAGAATTCACTGCAGTTTATGTGACATGGTCAATGTTTACATTTAGTCTCTTTTGTCTAGAATAGATGGTAATGAAACTGAAAGACTAACACCTGTGTAGGTGTTCAGCTACATCTAATTGTTTTGATAGTAGGTCATTATTTCGATTCTGAATATATTCCAATATGGCATTAATGTAGAAATATAGCAAAATACTGTCTTATCTTATTCATTTGTGTATTATGTTTTCAACAGTTTTGAAAAGAGTATATAAACATGCAAATTAAAAGATGTAGCCTAATCATCGAATGCATTTTGTGTCAAAGCAATGATAAATGATCCAAAGTGTAGCCCACATAGACTGCTGTTGTGCTCACTGCACACTGTGTGAAGAGTTTTAAAAAAGTGAGCTATTGAGAAATGGGTCCTGGCTATTGTAAAAACAAAACTCAGGCAATGGAGTTCTGCACTGGAAATGATTTGTTTTTTAGGATAAACTGCAGAAAGAGGAGAAGAAAACCTCTCGTAATGTGGCCAAGCTGCGGCAGCAGTGGCGTGCTATTTCAACACAGGCCGAGACAGCAGAGCTACGCGATGACATCTCAGTCCTCAGCCAGAGCTTTGAGAAAGTCCTCGACTGCAAAGACAAAATCATTAAGGTGACTGTATATAATATATAGACTTGACTCTCAGTTTTAAATTCTATAGCTTTCATTACAGAGTCTGGGAGTAACAAACGTGTGTGTGTGTGTGTGTGTGTGTGTGTGTGTGTGTGTTTTTTACAGAGTTTGGTGGATGATCTGTCTGAGAGGGCGCAGCGGTCAGAGCTGGCGCGCAGTTCTCATCTGCAGAACGTGGACTGTCTGTTAAAGCTTCATAAGAGTCGGCTGGCAGAACTAGCGTCCAACTTCAACACCAGTGTCGGAGAACTTAGCTCAGAGTATAATACTGAGAGGTAAACACACAAACAATCACACAAAAGGTAGTGTTTTGTTTTCAAGGGAGTGAATTTGGCCAGTTTGCCAGTTCCTGACTATTTAAATCGGGTCATTCCTTTTAGGATATACCTTTTAACTTTAGAAAATGACAATGCTTTGGTTGTAAAGAAACAAATTCATATAAAATGGTATACCAAACTTTCAGAAATAAATTCAGGTCAAGCTTGGGCACTTTTTAATTATATCTTTATTATTTATGCAATGACAAGAAGGTTAGGTAACACTTTTATTTTAATAGTCCGCTTTAAACATTCTATATACTATAAATGTAAGTATCTTTGCAACTATGTCAACTAGCAGTCATTAGAGTAGACTGTCTGCTTCACAGATATACATAAATGCCCCATTAGCGGCCATTTCAGTGGGCCACTATACGTAAGCCGTCCGCCATACTGGAACGGTCAAAACCAGTCTGTGAATGTTCAACATTCGAGAGCAAGTTGACTGCAACCATAGTTAGACGCAGTTAGAGTAACTTTGCAAGTACATGTTAACATATTGTACTAACCCTAATAGTCTATGAGAGAGAGTTATTTGAAATGTAGTGCAAATTAATTAGAGATAGTAGAATGTCTAAAGTGGACTATCATAATAAACTTTAACCACAAGTTTAACAACGGGATTGAACCCAGCTCTAAAAAAGAAGTAAACTCGAGGGTGTCAGCTTGAAGTTCATTTCAATTTTGTTGTTGAATTTGTATATTTTTCTGATTATCTATTGAAATATTGATATTATCATAAGGATTTATGAAATTTAATACAAGAAACTCCAATTAATACCATAAAACACTGCTAAATTCACAAGAGCATTACTAACAATAATGTTTTCCCACCAAAAGTGATGTCATGAACAGGATTTCACACAAAAAATGGTATAATATTCTAAACAAAAAGATCTATATGGGGACATGAAAATGCACTGCGAAGGATTGAGCCGATGTAGCATCATCTGTATGTTATTTCTTTTCAATTCCAGGGAGCAGATTATTTCACAGCACCAGCAGGAGAGTGTGGATTTGGAGAATGAAATGTTTCACATGGAAAAGCACTACGCTGATCTTGACGATGAGGCGAGACGTGACTACGAGGTTAATGTCCATCAAATTAAACAGCAGGTACTGATTTGATTATGTTTCTATTTATTCATTTGGCAGATGCTGTTATCCAAAATGACTTACAAATGAGGAACATCACAATTTGCCATAGTGATTCATGGGTTTAGTAAAAACTAGAATTAGTCAACAAGCTAGAGCAAAGGTAAAATACAAAAAAGAAGAAAAAGAGAATATTTTTTTTTAAATATAATAAGAGTTCGAGTAAATGTCTTGGTTTACAAAATCATAATTATTGCATTAACCTAAAATATGCAGTGCAATTCAAATATAAATAAATCACAGATTACAAAAATACAGATTACACAAATATACAAATGTATGTAGGAGTTTACATGTGTACACTATACTACTTATCAAAAGTTTGGAAGAATAAAGATTTTTTCCTTCAAATGTTTTTGATAGAAGTCTTTAATGATCACCAATGGAGCAGAGGTAAGGGAGCACACTGACCAAGGCGGCCAGACAGAGTTTAGAGTTTTGAAAATGTGACTACAGATTGGACAAAAGGATGTTAGCAGTTGGGGAAAAAAACATCATATAATAATATGTTGTTGGTTTTATTTTTGCAGAACAAAAAGAAAAATCAAAGAATGAAAGAACAGATGAACAGGGTTATGGAGATGCAGCGGTTCGTGGATGAAGTTTTGGTCCCTGGTGAAAGTTTTGAGCAACAAAAGCTTCCGGTGGAGTCTTCTTCAACTCTACAGACCCCCGCTGCCACTGAGAGACGCGCTCAAAAGCGCCATGTGCTAAAAAAAAAGCGCTAAGAAGCAAATATTGTGCAGAAACAAGGAATAAATGTGAAACGTGTGTTTCTGGAAGAAATTAAAAGGTTTTATGCCTCTTGCATGCAGTCGGTGAATCTGTTTAATGCAATGACCTCAGTATATTTTTGATTAAATTTAGGATTTTAGGACACTTCCTCAAATCCCACAGCCTTTTCTTACAACTTTATATTAACTTGTGCAATTATGTAAATGTGTTGACCGATGCTGTTTCATCACCTCAAGATGTCGCCAAATCATTGAAGATTGTCCTTTATACATCTGGAAAACAGGTCGAGGCATTTTAGAATGAAAGGTGAAGTTGAAAATAGACTACATTTTTGAATTATTTGAAGACATTTTGCATCTTGTCATTTAATAACAAATAAGCTCAGCTATAACTATAAGCTCTATCTCTCATGGATGCATAGCAAACCTCAAACACTGATGCGTGATGTCTTTAATAAAGACATGCTGTATTAATCTAGTACAAAACAGGGCAACAAATAACATGAAGCTATGTTTTATGGAACTTGTTAACTAATGCATAATATTAATATTATTATGGAATCTTCTGGCCAAAGAAACGCATCAAAATACTGAAATGTTTTATTTTGCACTGCAATAATAAAAATCAAGGCAACATGAATAGGTTTTTTTAATCTCAAAATGTCGTCAGTAATTTGTTATTTAGCCAACTTGCAAAACTGTTGTCGGCTGTTTTTTTTAGTGAGAAACAAATCCTCAACCTCAACATTACCTGTATCATTTATGCATGTCGCAATGCATGCTGGGAACACACACACACTCAAACACAGACCTCTTTACACAACAGCAATGTTGTTCAATACAAAATGCTTAGCACAGTCTATCCTTTCCAAACGGTTGAAGACAATGCTGTAAGATCTGCTGACTCTTGAAAATCTCCCAACCTTTTAAAGCTGTTTGACCTTTAACCCTTCCTCTCCGCTGCTTGCTGATAATGCTGGACTGGTCACCTGGAGGAGAACACTCTTTCAAGAGCAGAGAAAGTCAGAATTACCCTACGTTTTGAGAGGCAGTATGTAGTGCTTAGTACTTGATTGAATTTTGGCCAGCAGAAAGACCTTTCACCTGCAAGACATGTAGTATCCCATTATCTCGATCATTTTAAAAAGCGAGTTGAATTGGATTCAAGGTAAACATTTGTGTCAGTCCATGCATTCCTTGAGAATGATGCATGTACGATTCACTTCTGAGACACACACTAATGTACCTAGCTAACAAAAATATGAATGTTTTGCTAACATTCCTATGAAGAGTCACGCTACAAATGTGTAAGGGACGCAGCACCTGTGTTAAAAACTGGTAGGAAGTGGTCAGCAAAGAAATCGGTGGTAGAGCCAAAGGCTGCCCTTCAAATTGGGGATATCGTGGGACAGGTACAGCATGGAAGAGGGGGTTTTGGGCTCAGTTTAGCTCCTCCTAAATGGCAGGCCCAGCTCAAAGGAGGAAGCTGGTAGTCAACGAGGTGCGAAAGCAGGAGGAGAGGATGAGGTGTATAAAGGCCATTTCCCAGGCCAAGCAGGGAGAGTGGATGAGATGGGAGAGTGTGGAACAACGCAAGATGGGCTGGCAAGACCTTTGGTCAATGGAAGAGAGTAGGATCAGTTTCCTTATCAGGTCAACATATGATGTTCTCCCATCACCGCCGAACCTAAACCTCTGGGTAGGAGAGGATCCCTCTTGTCCTTTGTGTTCAACACCTGCCACATTAAGGCACATTTTGACCGGATGTAAGGTGGCTCTTAGCCAAGGTCGGTTTACTTGGCGCCATGACCAAGTACTGCGATGTTTGGCTTTAGCACTGGAAGGCAAGCGTAACATGACCAATAAGTTGCCGCCTGTTCTAGCAAAACATTACACGCAGAAGACAATATTCCTCCGCCCAGGCGAGCAACCACCAAGAAAAGGTGTTAAAACCAATTCTCGCCCAGGACAACTGGAAGCTGCTAGGGACTGGAAGATGCTGATCTTGATCAACGGCTTATTTTTCCACCTGAGATTGCCACCACTAACCTACGACCAGATATTGTTTTGTGGTCTGGATCAGCACGCATTGTTCAACTGATAGAGTTAACAGTGCCATGGGAGGATGCGGTAGATGAGGCATATGAGAGGAAGAAACTGCGGTATGCTCATCTGGCCACTGAAGCAGAACAGCGAGGATGGAGAGTCCAGGTTTATCCAGTGGAAGTGGGTTGTCGAGGTTTTGTGGCACACTCTACAACCCGGTTCCTCAGAGACGTCGGATTCAGCGGCCAAGAGTTGCGTCGCACAGTAAAGAACTGATCTGAAGCAGCAGAGAGGAGCAGCAACTGGCTGTGGTTGAGACGGAGAGATTCTAGCTGGCTGTGTACAGGCCGCCACGCTACGGTTTCGTAGAGTTCTTGAAAACTTGAAGAGTCTGTTGGTTTATTTGTATAGGTTGTATAGTATTTACAGTCATTCCGTTCCTGTGGATATTGCGTGAATGACGGGTGGTTGGGCAGATATTGTGTTTTGCGGTAGGTAGTATGCCATACGGAACCGTTGACACTGAAACTGCATATTAACGCACCAGTGGGGCTCGACAGCCTTAGTCAAACGGGTTGGCGTGTATGGTCGGGTTGCGGAGAGATTGTGAGATTGTGGTTAGGTCTCAGCAGCAGGAGGGAGGTAGAGGTCAGTAAGCTGGGCTGAGTTGGGTGGGGGACGGAGGGGGGGGACTCTGGGACGCCAGAGTCACTGTCGAGCCCTCTTGATGTGTCGTGGGCTAGTCGACGAAACACTGAGGACGGAAGGTGCCCACTTGAAGACCCTAGAGATGTCCCCTACTCGGCTCAATCCAGACGGTTGTCGTGCTGGTCCACTGGGGAGACCACACTGTAGTTGCAGCCGTTGTGTGTACTGACGCGCCAAGTACACTGCAGCCGTTAACGCCGGACAGAAGGAGATTCACATCACCATATGGAAAGAAGCGTAAATGGATGGAGAGATGGAGAGAGAGAAGCATAGGTTACTGTAAAGCTACGTCTTAGCTTGTGCTTATCTTGGCGAAAGCCGAGTACAAATCAGCATGAGGTTTAACATCTACTCTCGTGTAATAGTTATGAAAACCTTATTTCTGAAAATTTTCTTGGTTATAATAACATTAAGCGAACATTCTGAAACAAGTATTAACATAAAAAAACGTTAGTCAAACGTCTAAATGTTTCAGAAAAAAAACTTCCATGAACAATTACTGGTATAACTTTTTTTGTGCTAACATTGTGAGAACGTTATTAAAGCCCACATAACTCTGAACGAACGCTCTATTTGCGTGACTGGAAGAACGTTTGTCCATAACTTGGAGAGAACCTCGCCCGAACGTTAGCCAAGTTAGCTGGGTCATAAGGGCAGTGTTATTTGCATCACACATACTGAGGCAATTACACAATGAAAGCAACAGTAGTTCATTTTTAATCAACAAATAAAGACAAAACTCACTGATTTGGATATTCACTCCTAATCAGTGGTGTGCACAGACCTCCTCAGGGGCGGAGGGACCAAAAAGGGCACTACATTTTTTTTAAATTTAATTTAACAGTACCTGCATTTTATTCTCTCTTTTCAGCCAACTTGTGAGAGGGATGCTTCCTTTGGCTGCATCAGAGAGTTCCTTGATTTTTTATTTTATTTTATTCTTTCTTTACTCTAAACGGCGAACTTGCACCCGGGGAGAACAAATCCATCAAGGAAACAACCATACCGGTAGTAACTGTAAAGACATCCATGGACCTATTCCTGTAAACCCCGTTTTTAAAAAACATCGCAGTTTTAAACTTTTTAAAACAGTTAATCATTCTAGAGTAATCTGGGATCCCCAAAAGAAACCCAGGGGACTATTAGGAGGGCATTTAAATATCCGTAGTGTAATGTCTAAAATTGAACAAGTCAAACATTTGTTATGTGACTCCAATCTAGACTATCTATGTCTTTCAGAAACATGGTTAAATAAGAACTCACCATCGGCAGCTTTGAATATACCCGGATATAATTTATTTAGACGAGATAGAGTTAAGGGAAGAGGTGGTGGAGTCATGGTTTACCTGAAGAATAATATTCACTGCACCCAGATTCAACTATCTAATGTAAATCTGGAATGTATTGGATTAACTATTACTCTTTCTTCACAAATGTCTTTTGCTATGTTTTTACTCTATCGTCCACCTTCTT